GACAAGTGGATGATGCTTGCCCCCACAGGATATGGTTTTCCTCTCTTAGTCCAATGACACATGCTTGGCAAAATCTCATAGAAACACTTATAAACAATGTTTCTCTAAACTTCAAGATATCCTTCAATCCAGTCGGACACCCAAAAATTAACCATCACATCTTTCATGTTTTGTAAGGCAACAATGGCAAACTCACACGTCTATATGTCCAGGCAAGAGACTTGAACTTATCAATCATATTGAGTAAAAATCAAAGTGAATCATGAATGGGACCAGCAGATGGCATAATGGTTATATCTCTGGTCTCCTGCATAATCTACCAGAGTTCGAGTCGTGGAGCCAGTGTCTTAAACTTGTGCTGGGCATATGTGTGTGTGTGTGCCCAGAATCCTGAGAAGCGAATGGAGGAGAAGGGATTGTGGTCATCCCCCTGGGGGGAGTGATTTCTTGCTTTCTGTCACCCTCTGTCTGTCCAGTGAATGCACATGCCCTGTAGCAAAAATCTCTCTTAAAAAATAAAAAATAAAAATAAAAATAAAAAAACAACGCTGCCTAAAAAAAATAATTAAAAAAAATAAAAAATTAAAAATAAATAAATAAAAAGTGAAAAATGGAAATTCTGGCAAACTGGACAGCTCAGCTTTTACTTAATCTCAGAAGATTGTTTGCATGTGAAATGTTGATCTACTGTTCTAGAATCACCTGATTTATCAAGGGGAACCTGAAATATAAATTAATATTAGTAAAATCTTCTCATTTAAAATTCTACCTCAGGGGACCAGCAGTTGGCGTAATGGCTATGTCGCTGGACTCCCATGCAGTCAACTTCAGTTCGAATCCGGATCCAGTGGCTTAAATTTACACTGGGTGCATGTGTGTGTGTACCCAAGAACTCGAGAGGAGAATGGAGGAGAAAGGATTGCAGCGTGGCCATTCCCCCTGGGGGGGGTGATTTCTCACTTTCTATCTCTCTGTCTCTCTCTGTCTTTCTGGTGAGTGCACACACCCTAGAACAAAAAACCTGTAGCAAAAGCCTCTCAAAAAAATAAAATCTGTAAAATTCTATCTCAGTGACTTAAATATTATTCAGACCAAATAAAAGACATCAGTGAGCTGGATACAGCCAAAAGGTCTTTTAGGAAGTTAAGAATTTTGACTTTTACCTTTGAAAGAATGATAAGGCATTGAAGGAAAGGGTTCATTTAACAAAGCAAAATCAGATGTGTGCTTTTTTTTTTTTCAGATATGTACTTTTAAAATAACAGCTTTACATACTGTATGGAGAATTAACTGTTAGAATAATTTGGATATAAGAAGACACTGATTTGACAACTTAGTGATGATGGAATTAAAGAGAATAAATGAATAGAAATACATTCATTTGACTATTCAATCATTTAAGCCTCAAATAGAAACATATAGTTCCATTCCTAGATCCTGGCATGATGTATTAGGACAGCTTTTATCTTTTCTTTTTTCTAAGCATTCTGTCTTTGAAACATTTTCCTGACTTCTTCAGAGTACAGTAATTTTTTTTATTGTTTCAATGCCTCCTATCTTACTTTTATTTCCCCTCTAGTAACATGATGCCTCTACTTTGGGGGATCTATTTCATAGACACCAACTATGAAATTCTAGCAGAGAGAAATTCTAGTAGAAGAGACTACTTCTACTGACTGTGGTATGGCCATGTGACCAAGTTGATTCTAGCCTAGTACTTCCTTCAAGCCTCAATAATTCATCTTGAGATAAATGCTTGTGCCAGGCAGAACCAAGAGACAATCTTCATGTATATTATTTTTTTAAATAAAAATGTTAGAATGGAGACTTTGGCTTTGTGACTATAGAGATTTAAGATCCAAGTAGCAAATAACCCATATCTTCCCCTATAAGGAAAAGCTGGCCTTAGAAAATGAAGTTCACACATAAAGAGAATTAAAATGGAAATGAAAAAAATATCTTGATCACTTTGAAATTTCAGATTTTGGTCCTGTGGTACCCAACTATCCTAATGTGTGTCTACACAAACATTTTTATTCAATGGTATGATAAATTCTATTATCCATCCAATATGCCATTTTTGCACACTATTATACAAGTGTAATAATTTTAATTTAGAATGAAAATAGTGCTGACAAGTAAAGACCTCTTTCTCTCTTAATTCTCAAATCACTTCCCTCATTATTTTCTTAAATTTTTTTCTACAAATATCTGAAATGGCAGGTAATCTAGGATTCCATTCTCTTCTCTTTTAACTCCTAGTACATATCTAAACATCCAAACCACATGGATGTCACGCAGAACTTTGAAAGTAGTGTTAGATTCTGTTTTAGCCAATGTTTCTTTTTATTCAAAAGCCAACCAATTCCTAGATCTTGTTTATTCAACATTTTCAATAGTTCTTCTCCAACACTAATGTAAATACTTCAGTTTGTGTATCCACCATCTCTCACGTCATCACATATAGTTTCCTCAGTGATTTCTTCATCACTAATGACTT